CGTGCCAATGAACCGAAATAATTATCGTCTTATGTAGTCCAGTGCAGCAGTCATGTCATGTCATGTCATGCGGTGTCAAAAATTGTCATTAAAAACCCATTACTGAGCTATGGTCCAGGACCGAATCCCATTGATGTGTCCGGCTATTGAAGCATAGACGTTTCCTAATTTCCAAATGTAAAATATAACACATGTCTTTGTGTATATGTTTTTTCAGTCATTCTAGGAATTGTTTTTGTTTGTTTTCAGAGATGATAAATATATATTATATATTAGAGGTATAATTTATGAAATATATTCTTTCGAACGTTTCGTGAAAACAACAATACGACATTGATTAGAAAACGGATGTATGAAAAATGGTTAAAACATTTTCAGAAAATCTTTAACGTTTAAACAAAAGGTTAAATTTATAGACTTCAATTGGTATAGTTTATTTCGATTGACATTTCTGAACATTTACGTTGACAGCAAACTTGGCACGCAGCTCAAAAACAATACGCACATTTGGGCCAAGGGAAATAATGAAGAGAACGATAATGATCGCGAATCACGTGAATTGCAATTTCGTAAAAACACAGGAGCTAGAGAAGATTTTATTTTCGATTTAAAAATTTCATCACACTGTTTATCAAAAACAAAATTGCAATATTACAGCAAAATTAAATTATTACATAGACAATTTAATATTTTTACCCTTTTATGATAATTATGCACATCAGTAACCATAACACAAAAATGTCTGTGTACACTTGAATATCATACAAAAAATGCTTTGAAGTAAATAAATAAATACGTTTTAAAGCTTATTATAAAAACTAAATTTCACACCACATAACTTTAAATTGCAAATTGCTTAAAACTTCTAGATCATATTATGTTCCATTAATTAAAAGTTTATCTAGTGTACTGTATAAAATACTTAAATAAACTATCACACACTTATATTTAACATAACATAAAGTAATGCTTTTTCATTGCGATGTATTACTACTTTATTAATATAAAAATAAACATTACATATTACTTGGACATTTTTTTTTTATTTTCTGCAATTAAGATACAGTTTTTTAAGTTACAGTAAAATTAGTATTATAATATTTCTAATATTATTACTGATGGCAATGATTATATCATACTTCATTGAGTATATATTTTGTATTCAAATATTATAAAAGTACATAATATTTTTGGAGAGTTTGTGAAATTTCAACGATAGATAAACGTACTTAAAAATTCAAATACACGTAAATATAAGTACCCATATATAAACGAATGGTTATCATTATATTAAAATTAAAATAATACACATCGATAAGTGTAAGACGGTTAAATTAGCGTACCGTACGACATGATAAATACCTCACGGGGATCGTAAAATCGTTATAATAATGCAGACAGTAATTACCTCGTTAGTACAGACGGAGAGCAATCGGAGAAATCAACTCGGAGATCGGGAACCTGAGATGGCACGACCGGCGATATAGGTGATTGGTCACTGCTGCTGTGTATAGTAGTAATACGTAGACGGGTCTTCCGTGACGGTGCGTTGCGGTTTCGACAATAATCTGTCAAGCAGAGATCTCCGATTTATATATGACCGTCGGACGCGGACGTAATCGAACCTTTACCCCAAAATCGTATTATCATCCCTTCCGAATGCGATCGCTCCACCCTTTCTCGCAAACCGGTACCTACCAGTGCGGGACGATCGTCGAATCGCGTAGGGAGCCGATATCGTAGCGGAAACGATTATCATATATTATTGTGTTGGCCACGCCGACCTTTTCTCTCTCAACTCTTCCCCTCCCCTACTAATCCACTTCTCTCACCCACCCACGCATACCCACACTCACACACACCCTCGCCTGTCATTCTCTATTTTTGCGTCGTTCGCGAAAATCGAATTCTGTATCGGTGGCGGCACAGAGTAAAGAATAATACACACACACACACTCATATATATATATACATACAATATGAATGTATATAGTAGTCTGTCGTTTATAACAATTGACGATATATTATATTTTTATATTATCATCACTTACAGCGCGGCAAGAGCAGAACGAACGGCTTAATTTGGCGCCGAAACTACAACAACTGCTATAACAAAAACGCCGACCACCACGGCTCATGCTGTTATTACGGTGACGTGTTGTCTACAATGTATATTATTATTTTATGTCGGTTTGAATTAATATTATGTGGAATAAATGTTATTGTAATTGTACCCCTTTAGGATCGCGGAATACATTGTAAACGGATTTACACGATAACTTCAGGACAGATTGTCCATATATTTAAAAAATAATAAAACCATATTTTTATATTTGTAACCCATTAATACAATCAAGTTAGTCAATAATACACGCTGCTAATCCCGACGCTCGTGGTTTAATATTTTGAAAATTATAATATAATTATTTTCTATTTGTAGCTCAGAGTATCGACAGCTTCCGCATAAGGCATCTTTAAACTTTTATTTGTAATAAATTTGAAACAAAGTACATTTAAATAAATACGGACAAAAAAAAATAATTAAATTTATTTCCATCGATGATTACATACAAAATACTCTATATTATTTTGAATTAAAATTGTGGTTAAAATTATAATATAGTGTGCTATCGATTTAGTGTTATTTTTATTTTTTCAACTATAAACTAACAATTTTCATTATATGATTTTTCTTTTATTTTTATAAAAGATTTCAATTTAGGAAATCGGAAAATAAACTGTTTTACTATTACTAACGTATCAAAACCATCTACACGTAGTTAGGAATTTTTCTGGACCAACAGAATACAACTATAGAATAATGTTGTTTTAAATAATATGTGTGATAGTGTATTTTAAATTTTGATCATCAGTAACATTTGAGACACAAAGTGTATGGTAAAGTTACAAACAAAATATCCTATTCGAAAATGACAACCTAAATGCGCTAAATAGGTAGGTACAATAGGCTAATAGGCACATATTATAGTTTATCGTTAGTTATTACCAATTATCGTCATGGCAACTCATGACTTCGTGTCTTTACGTGGAGTAAAATTTTATGATGCAATAATATAATATTATTACTATAATGCGATACACATAGTTTAATTAAAATATCTTTCATTGTATTCGTCTCGTTCAAACTGTTTGCTAAGTTAAAAATATAAGCTTAGTTTTTCTATGATTTGAATTTTAAACGCAGTACAGTTTGAGTTTATTTTCTAAAAAGCCCAATTATATATTAATAACCGCGTGGCCAGAAACAACACTTTATTTATTGGCCAACATCCATTTCGGTAAAAATGTACAATAAAAATGCACACAACCCGTAGTAAGCCCATCCAAACTTCCGTCGCTCACGTTATGCTTTAACTAAGAGACATATAAAATTCACAATAATGAAAATAATAATAACAATAATAATTGAATTAATAACACCACTGCACGTTGGGATATTCAAATATCCATCCTCTATTGTAAAATATACGAGTAGGTACATACAATTCAAAAAATCGGTTAACACGATATCTGCTTAATTTCTATTATTTTCCAAACTTTTATAAAATTGTATAGGTGCAAGGTTTAAATAATAAACAAATATTTTTCCTCATTTGTACGACAAAGCTACATACTATGACAGTGTAGACCAAATATAATTAATACGAAAATAAAATATATTATGCTTGTATAGAAACATTTAAGATAAAAAATTTACTCTACTCGCATCTTTAATTTTTTTTTACTCATTTTAATTTATATAGTTATCATGCAAAAGTTAATTTAACCTATCGCATTATTATATAATAGTAATAAAATAGGCATAATAATATTTGAGGTGATAAACTAAGTGAGGAGGGAGGGAAATAATGTTCATTTCCTAATAAATTCTTAGTTTTACCACATTTTGTCTCTCTTTTCCCCATGAATGTACTCAAAATCACGCTAATAATTAATAATATATACATTTATTTTATACTAAAAAATTTTTATCAAAATAGTCTCGTCGTCTCTGTTAAGAATCGTTTTTCATATCATCGTATGCAATGATACTTTTATACTTTTATATTACAGTGACCTACGTAATAGTGATGATAGATTCGAAACCTATTTTACAGCAGAGTAACTTTGCCGGTTTTCAATATTGTTAACAAGTAAACGGTATGCTAACATTTTTTTAGTTAGTATTTTTCAAGATAGTCTAGTTTACAGTTTACATAAACGTAATAATATACATATTAAGTATAACTACGCAATCGACCACTTATTAGCAATTATGATTCATGGACGAATCCCCGTAATACATTTCCCCGTTACGCTTTCCCCGTCCAGCGATTTTCCCCGTTAGACATTTCTTCGTCAAAAGAAGGATATACAGGGTGATTTTTTTATCAAACAACACTCATTATTTCCAAAAGTATTCATTTTTTTGAAAATATTTTTTTACATAGTTTCAAATTGTTAAAAAAACAACATTTTTATAAAAAAATTATATTTTTAAATATTTTTTATCCTTATAATTTTTAAAAAAATGAATACTTTTGGAAATAATGAGTATTGTTTGATAAAAAAATCACCCTGTATATATAAGATATAACAAATAAAGATAGTATAAATGTTTATATAGCTTATATTGCACCTTGTACGGACAAATTAACTTAGATATATATTTATTATTACCTATAGGTTTTATCAAATATAAATTACCTATAAAGATTTAGGTACGTTATCGATGTACGTTATACGTACAAAAATAAAACGGATCCGGTATGCATTAGTAAAACTAACAAATTGAAATGGTTTAACAGTGTCTCGATAACCGTCGCGAAGTTATATTATTTTATGGAGAAAAATACAGTGTATCCCTGAAATACGAGAAAAATATATTTCAAATGCTGACTTTGCCTTAAATGTAAAACAGCTAATGGCTTTAGCATTTGTACCGATACCTGACGTTGAAAAAAAATTTGACGAGTTAATGTCCCAAAGTTTTTTTGTAGAAAATGAAGAACTATTGTTTCCATTGACAGACTACTTTGAAGATACATGGATCAGCAGACCAAATAGACGTAGAACTCGACGCCCACCTACATTTAGTTTAGCACTGTGGAATCAATACGACGCAACACTTGCAGATTTGCCAAAAACAAACAACTCCGTCGAAGGATGGCACAGAGCATTTTCGTCATTGTTAGGTGCATCTCATCCAACAATATGGCGATTAATAGACGTAATAAAAAAAAGAACAAGGGTTAACGGAAATAAAAATCAATCAATTAATAGCAGGGCAAGAACAGGTAGCTAAAAAGAAAAAAATATACGAAGACAACCACACGGATTAAAAAAATTGTAAATTCTTACCATGAACGTAATTTAAATGAATATTTAATTGGAATTGCTCATAATTTACAAATATAAGGTATTAATTTTTATTATAATTATTGCTCAAAATTTTTATTATTATTTATATATTTATTATTATTATTATTATTAAATAACATTTTACAAATTATTTTATGTGTCTGTAATAGTGTAATAACGTATACCAGTAGCATTAATTTTTATTATAATTATTGCTCAAAATTTTTATTATTATTTATATATTTTTTATTATTATTAAATAACATTTTACAAATTATTTTATGTATCTGTAATAATGTAATAACGTATACCAGTAGCATTCATTTTTATTATTATTTATATATTTTTTATTATTATTATTAAATAACATTTTACAAATTATTTTATGTGTCTGTAATAACGTATACCAATAGCATTATTTTTTATTATAATTATTTCTCAAAATTTTTATTATTATTAATATTATTATTTATATACTTTTATTATTATTATTAATTAACAACATTTTACAAATTACGGGGACGGGGAAATGTCGCACGGGAAAACGTATTAGACGGAAAAATATTTTACGGGGAAGTGTTTACGGGGAAGTGTTTACGGGGAAGTGTTTACGGGGAAATGTTCGACGGTGAAATGGGGACGGGGAAATGACCCGTTACCAGCAATGATACCTAAAAATGATAGCTATTTAAATCCGAATAGAATTATACAATTTACTATACAGTTTCAAAAATAATAAATTATTTTGTGATACAGTGTATTTTTAAACCGCAAAAAAAATGCGAAAACAATTGATTTTGCAATATTTTGTTATTGATGCAAAATGTGTTACCGATCACTAGCTCTATTTGATACGCATAACAATATATTATGTAATTCTTGTGTATTTGAAAAATAATTTGTTTTGAAAATATGCATTTATTTATACATGCACATTATAGTACATAATATATTATATAAAACAAAACATTTAATCCGCTTCACAAAAATATCGGTTGCCAAATACCGTCGCACACGAGTACCTATATTACAACAACTTAGTGGTAGTGTGTATTTATGTCTGTCATCAGTCACCATTAGAATAGAACGATGTTTTAATTTTATTATAAGCTCTACTAAGATTTTTCAATTTGAAAACCACAAACAAAACATACTTAGAAAGTATAAAATGTATTAGATATTAATTTACTTAATTTATTTTGGTAAAGGATTTAAACAATTTCACAAAAATATGTATTTCACTATGATAAGTTACCATCAAATAATAATTAAAGGAATCTTTATTAATTGGGTTTACGTTATAAAACAAAACACTATTTTAGTAAGAAAACTTATCTACATAGATAAATACAATAGTTCGTTTAATTGTAATATTTAGGACTCGGAATTTATAGGAGCTAAAAACGGTAAAATATGCATGCATATATATATAATATATATACACAAAAAATGTTAAATATACAACAAAATTATTTAAAATACGGGAAAAAAATCTTATGTTGTTTATTACATTGTATGAAATCAAAATTAAATAAATACAATTAACAAAAAATAATAATAATAATATGCAAAAATCAATTAATGTAAAATATGAAAGAATAAATGTATAGGTAATATTTAAAATACGACGTAAGCTAGTTGACATTTTGATATCTTATTAAACTAAAAAAATAGTTTAAAATAATAATATAAAATGTCAATAATGTATTCATGTACGACTTTGACAATGAATAAGTAATAAATAGATTCACAAATTCTCAATAAGTTAAGTCAACAACTTATCAACTATAAGATAGTATTTCGGCATCATATTAGCGTTATAGTGAATAAATACAAAGTACACTATTGTCGTCAAATCAATATTCGACTGCGACGATGGAAATAAATACCTTTGTTAAATTTTAATACATTTTATACTCAAGGTTTTATATATAGGTTAAGAAAGAAAATAAAATCTTTTTTCTTTTTTAGAAAATATTAAATATAGATATGCATAATATATATCTAACCTAACCTATGCATATAATAACGAATCATCTTTTTTCTAGTTTTAACGAAATATGCAAAATATGCATTTTAAATTTTCTACTTTTGAATTTACTGTTGTAAAACATATAAAGAGCATACATATGGAACAATATCTATCTTTTAAACTTTCAAGCCCATGTAATATTAGAAACTATTCCTATTAAACAGAATAAACAATTTTTTTCCAATAATAAGAATCTACTCAACTACGTATTACTTTAATAAATGTTAAAAATAGTTTACAGCCACCATAAATCATTTTCATGAAAACATTTCAAAAATAATTTTATTAAGCTCTGTTACAATTTTATTCTGAACCAAAAATGAGTGTATACTCAAATCCATTTTTTAACGTAACAATACAACAACGTATATTATTTTAAATTACAAATAGGTATTAGTATTGTTTAAATAAGTAAGAGTGAATGTAAATTGTGTCTAATGAGAATTTTGCCCCCTTCTAGGATGACGTAATATATTATTATCAAGTAAGTACCTATATGTATAAATATTTCTGTCTAAAAAACGAGGTATAAAAGTTTATGAAATATTGTTTTAAAATTGTAAAAGAACAAAAAGCGTATGAATAAAAATATGATTTAATAATGATAGAAAATCCTCTTTATTTATTTTGTCATACACACCAATATATTTTTATTTAAAATAACAAAAAAGACATCTCTATGCAAACCTAAAGTAGGTACCTAATATACCTACCTAAAAAACCAAAAATTTAAAGTTTTTTGCATGATACTTGTTGATTGTAATATGACCAACGGATTTAACAACAAGTTTTCATGTAATTTTTTTATTTAATTTTAGCTATATAAATTAGAAGAACATCCTAATCATTAAACGAAAAATAATTTATTTAATTTTTATATTAAAATATAAGATTGTTTTGTTATCTAGATCAAATATTACTTCTAACTTGTTTTTGTATACAAACAATAAAAATACATTTAGACGTTAAGTATTCAATTATTATAAAGAGTTCACGGTATTGTGTATATATTAGGTAAGCAAATGTTGAAAAACATGAATAGATAACTATAATATTATAACTCTTTATGATATGTACTTAATGTGTATACACATTTCTATTCGACAACAATAATTAAGAATAATATATACATTTTTTATCTTAATTATGTATAATATTAAATATTTATATGAAAAATACAACAATTAAGTTCACATTTTAACTATTCTACATCAATAACATAATAATGGTTGTTATAAACTGAACCGACAACCTTATTTATCCTTTGTATAGTACTTCTACGCATCAATAATATTTTGTAGTAATCAATTTAGTTTGTTCCGCTTCCTATATTTACTCTTCATTTTTATTTTATAAACTATAAAATCATACATGTTGTACAGCCATCATTTATCAAATATTTAGATTGTTTAAAATGTTGACTATTAATTTCATCGTCGGCCGAGTTGTTACAAATTGTAACTAACTGTAACTTACAAACATCAGCTATTTCGACAAAAATTTCATTGTAACAATCAATTTTCCTTTTCTTTTCTTTTCTTTTCTTTGTTATTAAATTTTTGTTGGAATTCGCCTTCAACGTGTTTAAAATGTATAATAATGTATATATCGTTATCTCTTACTTATCGTACCTCTTTTAGTCTATTGAACGACAATACAGCATGTTTAGTTTTTTTATCATTGTTTAACAAACAGCGATGCCTAACGAATGATATAGATATATAATTTATATAACCATACACACATTATAGTTGAACTCTATGTGTCTATTGCTTTAAAAATATTATTTATGTTGTTCGTATAAAATAATATTATAATGACCTATGTAATATAAGTATATTCACAGAACATTTCACATTCAAACTAACTCCAAAGATGATATGCTACGAGATTTTTCAATGGATTTTTCCAAAATGTATTCTTATCTTGAAAATTATAGATGAATAAAAGTTTAACTTTATTAACTATCATCATAAAATTATACTTGTAACATGAACTTAAGTTTCAATTTCATTATATTATTCAATTTTACCACACCATCGTAAAGTATACAATATAAAATATAATATATATAATATATAATATACATTGTAAAATATAGCATTTGTAAAAATAGCAAATATTCTTACCGTGCTTGACTATTTTTGATTCGTATACGCACACTGCAATTACATAGCAGGTTGCAGTTGATTTTAGATTTTGTTGAATTTTTGTATCCATAATAGTAAAGCCTCATAATATTAAATCGATGTATATAGTTAAACGTATACAAAACTGTTTAGAAGCATAAACGTAAAGTAAATTATTATATAGTTAATTTCGCGAACACGTCAAAAGACTAATTTCTATACTACGGAGCCCTAACAATAAACATTGATTGACAATGACTGATGACTAACGTGATTATATGGACATTTCGATTGTCCGATCATATAATGTATTGTGATTTGCGAGGCCCTCTCAGTGAGGGGTCAGACGGACGTCGGACTTATTTCGTTTTAGATTCTGAGTGAATCAACAAGAAATCTACCTATACCGATTTTACAATGATGACGATTTTTTTCCTCGGAAAACACGTTAAAATATTGTTAGGTACGACACGTGCAGACTACGATAAACCACGATTATAAAGATATAATGTAATTTACACAACGATAAAGAAAACGCGCATGAACGCATAACATATAGCTCATAAGATAGTGAAATCGTCTTCTAGTTTTTGTACACAACGAAATGACAAAATCAAGTCGCGGACTCATACGCGCACCAATAAACATAATATACATGTTTCAGAGAACACTAAACACGTTGTAAATTATAACACGGCATATTATTATTATATACGTTTACCGCGGCGTAGATACAGCAATACAATACCTATTCAGGCACAGTGTGATATTGTATTATGCACCTATACATTAAATTTGTACACTTATATTATAAGTATGTAGAATTAATAACGCTTTTTC